GCTCGAAGTAAGTAGGATGTGACACTTAAGACTGATTTTATATCTTATACAAGTTTTGAAGTAATTAAATTTCAGTTTATTATTATTATTGTTGTTGTTGATTGTTCAATGAGAATTCCCCAATTTTAAGGTAGGTGATTTAGGTTCACACTGCGCCGGACCACCTTTATTTTCTTCTTGTTCTTATTTTCATTTTTGTTAGTCGGTGACTAAGGAATTCATATATCATACTGAATGTAAAAATTTAAAATTTCATTATAACTCAACTGCCATTTACCTTTTGAGTGTACTTAAAATTGATATCTTTGTCAAAATCATCGAAAAATAAAAAAAATAATATGAAAATTGAAATAAAAATCAATAAACCAGTTTATGTGTACTAATTGTGATGACCAGTTTCGATAATTTATTTGTTAAGTTGATCTTTTATAATGAATTTGACAAATCAGTGTATGAATTTTAGTGACATCCAAAATAATGATTCATTTTACATAGGTCAAAATTTGGTGACAACAATGAAATCAAGCAAATAGATATTGCCACAACTTATGATTGCGACGACTTTCGACAGAACGATCAGATTTCTCATTAATTTTATTTACATATTTCATTTTGTTTTTATTTCATTACATATATACAAATATTACATCATTATGTACGTTATTCATGAAATGACATAAAATACAAAAATCACATACACAATTGATGAAATGACATAAAATACAAAATCTCATCATACATAATTGGAATAGAAACCCTGACTCGTACTGAAGTATATGTATACAAACAATAATTAATGAAGTGCTAAACCTAAAATCTATAAGTAAAAATGTATTTAATTAATTTATTCTGATATTGCCTAAAATTTATGTAGCCTAAGGAGAGTCGAGCCTCCGACATCTACCCAGTATCATCATGACACGTTATTATACATGATGTCTTATTCAGTACTGGTCTTTGCGGAGCATAGTGTTTGCTCACGCCCCCATTGTGTTTTTTAGGAGACGGAGTCGAGCTTGCCGACTGAGCTATGCGTGATGAAGCGTGGTCATGACAGCAAGGACATTTTTTACGCACATTTTATGTCCTTATATTTATGATCATGTATTCATTCAAATATGTATGCATGTACTCTATGTATTTTTGTATTTCGGATGCTTCCGCTTGCAGACTTTAGACTGTGCGAAACAGTTCAGACATGGCATGTATGATTCCATATCCGTAGCGGATAATTTGGTTGCATGTTTTATTATGTCTGTGAGCAAGTTAAGTAAAGTTTTTATCTATGTCATCCCGCAACAAGTTAGCGTTTTCGAAAACAAGCTCGCACCACCTTTCGAAAACAAAATAAAAAATTTTACTCTGATTTTTTTCAAAGTTAGTAAGGCGGGAATTGTGAAATATAAAACAAGCACCTATCTTATTATTATAATAACTTATGTTTCCGGAAATTAACGATGAGGAAAAATATATGAACAACTAATATGTCAAATTTATATAGTTCACTCTCACAATTGTTTTTGAATATTTTTCTTTTGTAAACAAAAATCTAACAAGTTTCAAATTGTACTATATTTTAAAAAATACATTCAATTTATCATTATTACTATTTTAATTATTTACTTTTTGGTTTTCTTGAGCAAAAGTTGGTTGTTTGGACACTTCGAGTTTGATGACTAGCTAACTCAATTGCTTTCTGACAAATCACAGGCTGACCTTACACTGGGGCTTTAAAATGACCCAAAAATGATCGACCACAATTCCCAAGCCCAATACAAGCCCGCCGCCATTTTCCTTATGAGGCCGCCATTTCCTAATTAGGCGCCATTTCTTATTGGGCCTATTTAAGTCCTAAACCACCCGTGCAACTTCCCTCCAATCATTTCGTACAACTTCCTGCTCACTGAGTCGACTCGCCTGCAATGTGCAATTTTATTTTTTTCCTAAAAAGAAAAACCCTAATTCTGCAACCGAAATTCTGTCCCCAGCCATTAGAATCTCTATAAATGGCGTGTTTTTCTGCCCATGTTCCCAACACCTGCGCCGCAGATTTCGCTTCTGACAAACCCTTTGCGGTGTTGAGTTTATCTCATAGAGTTGAGTATTCATGAGTCGTTTTGAATTTCATGCATTTGGCTATGGCTGCCTCTCATTGTGCCGGGCTGTAAGTTCTCTGCAGTGGAAATGTGGTTCTTGAGAATCTTCCAATGGAGGGTTTTGTAATTTTTTTCTAATTCCTGTTCTTTATGGATTTTTGGCGATGGATTTTCGTGATGAATTTCTGCTGCAGGTATTGATTGGGATTCATCATTTATTTGATCAGTGAAAAAACTTCCATTAGAGTTGTTTTTTAGTTTTCATTTTAGGATTTCTGCAGCACAACATGGTTTCTCTGTGTGTGTTTAAAAATGGTCAATGAGGTTGTCCTGTAAAATTCTGTGATCTTTGGAGCTGAGTTGAAGGTATCTATCTGTAAGTGAAAAAACCATGGGGGAGACTGGGGATACCCCCATTTCTAACAACCCTGCCGTTAGGAGGTCCTCTAGAAGTAAAAAAGTGTTGAGGAATTACAATGAGAATCTGATGGACGCCTTAATAGAGAAACAAATCGGGTCCTCTTCGAGAAAGAAAAGCAGGACACGTGAGGATCTGGAGAAAGAAACCAAAACCGAAGCCATGATTGCTTTGTCTTTAGGGTTCCCTATAGACGAGCTGCTTGACGAGGAAATCAAAGCTGGGGTCGTGACCGAACTTGGCGGGAAAGAGCAGAATGACTACATTGTCGTTAGGAACCATATACTTGCCAAGTGGAGGGACAATGTGCACACGTGGCTCTCCAAGGGGCAGATAAGGGAAACCGTTAGCAACGACTATGCGCACATAATAAATGCAGCTTACGATTTCCTTTTAAATAACGGGTACATTAATTTCGGCGTCTCCGCATGCTTCGAGTCGCAAATATTCGAGGAAAATCAAGAAACTTCCGTGATAATAATCGGCGCTGGTTTAGCCGGATTAGCTGCAGCTAGGCAGCTCAGGTCTTTCGGTTATAAAGTGTTTGTTCTTGAAGGAAGAAACCGACCTGGCGGGCGGGTTTACACCCAAAAAATGGGTCAAAAGGGCACATACGCCACTGTAGACCTCGGAGGAAGTGTGATAACGGGCATTCACGCCAACCCTTTAGGCGTTCTGGCTCGGCAGCTCTCTATCCCTCTTCACAAGGTGAGGGATAACTGCCCCCTCTACAAGCCCGATGGTGGGCCCGTCGACAAAGAAATCGATTCGAATGTTGAGTTAATCTTCAACAAGCTGCTCGACAAGGTCTCGCAGCTCAGAGGAGTAATGGGTGGATTTATCGCCAATATTTCACTCGGCTCGGTTCTTGAAACGCTCAGGCAATTGTACGCCGTGGCCCAGAGTGAAGAGGAAAGACAGCTTCTCGACTGGCATTTTGCGAATTTGGAGTTTTCAAACGCGGGCAGCCTCTCAAACCTCTCGGCCGCTTACTGGGACCAAGATGACCCGTACGAGATGGGTGGGGACCACTGTTTCTTGGCGGGCGGGAACTGGTGGCTGATTCGAGCCCTGTGCAAAGGAATCCCGATTTTGTACGAGAAAATCGTGCACACGATTAGGTACGGTGAGGAAGGTGTCGAGGTCCTTGCCGGAGATCAAGTGTTTCAGGCAGATATGGTTCTCTGCACGGTTCCACTCGGCGTTCTGAAGAAGAAAATGATTAAATTCGAGCCCGAGTTGCCGGAACAGAAAGTGGCGGCAATCGATAGGCTCGGGTTCGGGCTGCTGAATAAAGTTGCCATGGTTTTTCCCCATAATTTTTGGGGGGAGGATTTGGACACGTTTGGCTCGTTGAGCGAGACCAGTCAGCAAAGGGGCGAATTCTTCTTGTTCTACAGCTATCACACGGTTTCTGGTGCTCCGGTGCTCGTGGCATTGGTGGCGGGCGAAGCTGCACAGCTGTTTGAGAATGCGGACCCCATTTCTTCAGTCCATCGTGTTTTGAGTATTCTTAGAGGTGCGCGAACGTGTTGGGGTAATTAATTATGGGGCGCGGGTTTATGATGAGAAAACATCATTAAGATGCTTTCATTAATCATTATTCAGCCTTTATGGGGTTTCCTTTTCTTTTCATGTTAATTTGCCTCCGAAAATAGTTACTCAGGATTTGCTTTTTATGTTGTTCGCAGGCATTTATGGTCCCAAAGGAGTAGACGTGCCGAATCCAATACAATCGATTTGCACAAGATGGGGCTCGGATCCCCTGTCCTACGGCTCGTATTCGCACATAAAGGTACAATCTTCAGGGGACGATTACGACATTCTTGCAGAAAGTGTCGGGGGCCGCCTGTTTTTCGGAGGGGAGGCCACGACTCGACAGTACCCAGCCACCATGCACGGTGCTTACCTCAGCGGGCTCAGGGAAGCTGCCCGAATCCTCCGAACCACGAGACAGAGGCAAACCGATCAAAATCCGAGGAAGCCCGTGTCTAGAAATCCGGGCCTGAATGGTGATGTATTGTCGAAACTCTTCGAGAGGCCACATTTAGCATTTGATGACGATGATTTCTGCTTTGTGTTCGACCCTTTATCGGATGAGGACCCGAAGTCGTTGGGCCTGATGAGGGTGGCTCTCGAGGCCCGGCCCAATGAAAGTTGTGGGGATGGGCAGTTGATGAGTCAGCAGCAGTTGATGCTTTATGCAGTGGTGACCAAAGAACAGGCGTTGGAGTTGGAGAAAGTTGGTGGGGAAAAATCGAGCAAGTTGGGTTTTTTGTCGCGTAATTTAGGGATTAAGCTGATGGGGGCCGATGCAATAGGGACTTTGGCGAATGGGTTGATTGCTAAAATTAGTAGCGTGAGAAGAAGTAGGGTTCGGTCTCGGGTGGTTGGAGGGAAGTGATATCTCAAGGGGGGATTTGTTGTTGCCAACCGATGTTTTGTGCTTTTGTGATTTTTGTTGTGTTGTCTGTCAACAAAGATGTATTGGAGCATGAAATTTGTAAAACAGGGTTAGGAAAAAAAGAAGAAAAAAAAAAAAAGAAGAAGAAGAAGAAGAAAGGAAGGAAGAAAAGCTCAAAGGAGTCCATATTGAATATGTAGCTGTACTTAATATAGAGGTCCATATAGATTTTGATATTTGATTTACCATTTTGCAGATTGGGCTCTTTACTTGAGAAATTGTAGTTCCCCTTTTATATACAAATGAATTCTTTGGTTCTTTTTTCTTGTGGTTTGATTATAAAATTGCATTGTTCTATGATGATACATATTTGCTAGTGATGATTGGTGGCGGCTAATTTCTTCTTATGATTCATGTTCATATTAAAAAATGTCATACTTTTGTTTTCGCCAAAATATCATTTCTATAAAATTGACATTTTCTTAAGAAAGTATGTCACTTGATTGAGAAAAATACATTTAGTTTAGAGTATAGGCGAAAGGCTCGGAGAATTCGATCCTGCCCTGCCCATACCTGATTTTTTACCGTTGGATTACACATTCACACACACAGCTATATAGATATAGGTGTGTTGATCCAACAGTGGAACATGAACAACATTGTATACTTTCATGCAAAAGCAAGGGCATTCATTTCGACATTAATGACTGCATGATTTTTGAATAAATTGAAAATTGGTATTAACAACTGCGCGATTACACGTATTAATCGTTGTAGAGCATAAACGAGCCTTGTCATATGTATGTGCTTGTGTTCCTGCATGTGAGGTTCATTAGCTGCATTTTTTAACTTGTTCCATTACGCCTTTACTCAGTAAGTATCATGCAATGCATATATTGGCATCAGCACAAAGAAATCTAAACAGACATCAAAGGAAAGTTTAGTGATTTTGGAGTGATGTGACTTATATGGTAATTCTACTAAACTCAACAACATTTTTTAGTAATGTGGCTTCAGTTACAGTTTGGATCGACCTATACAATGCCGTTTATCCTGTTTCCAGCAGTACATCCGATGTATTGTTTAGCTAAATGAGTCGAGTCGACTCGAGTTCAACTCGTTTAAGCTTATGAGAGCTCGACTCAGCTCGATTAAACTCATTTAACAAACCTAAATGAGTATTTTATTTAAAATTCATATATAAAATACAACAAAGTAAAAATAAGTTGTTTGCGAAAAAGTTCGTCTGAACCTACAAACAAACAAACAAACTCGATCATGATCGAACATTTAAATAAACCAACGAGTCGAATCAAATATATTCTATGACTTTCTCAATCCAATATAAGCCCACACCACAAACATTCCTGGCCCGCTGGCCGCATTTCACATTTTAGTTTTATATTAACAAATATCAAATTACTATCTAAAGTCCAAAGTAGAGGGACCAACAAAGAGGATATTTTTATCTCCAATTTATTATTCACTTCCCACCTAACAATCAAACCTCGCCCCTGCTACCTGCGAGTCCAAACTCCAAAGTGCACGTAGATTAAATGATTAATGCAATGTCTGTGTAGTGTGTACCCACTCATCTTAATTTTATTTCAACTTTCAAAAATTTTGATTTTTTAATTTTTATTGTACGAGTCAACAAGATCCAAGCTTTCAGTTTTCTTTTAATTGCCCCTGATTTCTTCACAGGGCCAGGATTGAGTAGTGATTGACTGCCCTGTACCTCTCTCTCTCTTTCTGTAAGTGATGGCTTTAAACTTTCTTACTCTAATCATCTCAATTCTTTTTTACTTTTTTTTTTGTGCTTGAATTGTTTTATGGGCATCGTCTATTTGTTGGTTTGAGTTCATCTTTATGCAGTATTTATTAATGGGTCTCTCTCTTACTGTGATGTGGAAATCCCTTTAAAGACTAATGGGTGTTTTGCTTTTTTCTTTTTTCTTTTGTCTTTTGAACTATTGATGGATGGGGTCTGAAGTAAATGATCACTAAAGATTTTTGCTTTCCTAGCCATTATGAAATTGAAGATAATTTCTTCTTGTTAGAAGTCAAATAATGGATTTTTTTCCTTTTCCCCTTTTCTAGAGTTTGCCAGAGGACCCAAAAACGCAAGANATATTTGTTCCTTCAGTTGTTCTGGGCTGTTATTGTTGTTGTTGGTTATAATGTTACTATGTTAGTAAAGATAGAAGCTGAGATATTTAAATTTAATGAAAGATAGTAAGTTTGCAGTAAAGGAACATATTTTATTCCTCACAAGAACTGCTCTCACTCTGTCTAATGTGGCAAAAGTTGGTTAGGCAAGTCGGACAATCATTAGTGCCTTTCTCGATTATTAGACCAAACCTGTTTGAGATTCAATGTTGGTATTCATTTCTTCTAGAGATGATCATACTTTGATGCTAAGATGATATCGCAAATTCTAAGTCATGATACACTTACATACCCTTCAAATGATGATCTGATAAAGCATAAGTTAGAAAAAAAGAATAAAAATGTGAATTTTTCTTGAATAGAATTCAAGACTATCCACTTACTGTTGGACTTTATGTCATGAGATTTATTTAACATTTGGGCTTTTTCACTTTCTATAGATAGATAAACCTTCACCATGGATCGTGGGCAGTTTACGCTGATGGGATCAACTGTGTGTGTTATGCTATGTCTACACTTATCGATACAGCTAGTTTCTCAACATAACATGTCATGGAAAAAGCCAAAGGAGCAAAAGGCAATAATCATTATTGTCCTAATGGCTCCTTTATACGCCATCAGCTCATACGTTGGTTTGTTAGACACACGAGGGAGCGCAACATTTTTCACTTTCTTGGAATCAATAAAAGAATGTTACGAGGCTCTGGTGAGCTTTTTTTTTTTTTTGGCAATTTTGAGATATGAATTTTGTTTGTCTTTGGGACTTTATTGAATTTCGTTGTTTTGTAGGTGATGGCGAAATTCTTGGCATTGATGTATACTTACTTGAACATATCTATCAGCAAAAACATAGTGCCTGATGAGATTAAAGGAAGAGAGATCCATCACTCTTTCCCAATGACTCTTTTCCAGGTACACCTTTTCATTTTATCAACTTATCTACTATTTATTATCGTCATGATATTTGTTCATTTACCGTTTATGATAATTCATAATGCACATGAGCAATTATTGTTTATTATAAGTTCATTTTTTCTCTTCAAACTTACGAACAGTAATAATGTTTGTATTTGAAAAATGTAGCCTCATACTGTCCGATTGGACCACAAAAACTTAAAACTACTCAAGAATTGGACTTGGCAATTTGTTGTGATCAGACCCATTTGCTCGATCTTGATGATAGCTTGTCAGCTTCTCGATATATATCCGAGCTGGCTGAGCTGGACATTCACTATCATCCTCAACGTCTCGGTTTCACTCGCTCTGTACTCTCTTGTGGTTTTTTACCATGTTTTCGCAAAGGAGTTGGCCCCACACAAACCTCTGGCTAAATTTTTGTGTGTTAAAGGCATCGTCTTTTTCTGTTTCTGGCAGGTAAAAGATTCGGCATTCGTCTTTCACAGTTATCTTTATTAGGATACCTAAATTGTGATGTTAGTAAAATATAATTTGATTAGAACTATAGAGAACTAAATTCAATGCTCAAAATTTTGGGTTTAACAGCTTAAGACATCTGTATAATTTTTGGGTTTAACAGCTCAAAATATATATGTTACTATTTTTACCAGTTAATCTTTTTGAATGGGGTGTTGGTAAGAAACAGGCAATAAACATCAGGGCTAGTTTTTGTAATTATTTGTAAATAAAATTACAACAAAAATGAATGCGCTACGGAAGAATCAGTCTTTGTTCGTCTGTGCTCGTTTTACTTGAGGATGATTGTGAAAACTTCCCTTGAGTTTTGGCCTAATTACAACAACACCAAGCTAATTCTCAAAATTACAAAAACCATCCTTTGAGGTTGCATTTAGAGACCATTTTGTGAAGTTCCAAGAAGCTGGTGGTAGTAATTGTGAAATATTTGACGAAAACAGCAAGTTCATCGGACAAACTATTAGAAGGAATCACCTTTTTTCAAATGCAATAAAATCCTAGGAGTGGTTTTTTGTCATGTTCCCTTTTCTTGGGCTCGATACATAACGATATTGTTGCTTATTACTTGAAACCT